CCCTGGAAACTATAGCGCTGAATTCTAAATGTATTCATCACGATGGGCTAACTGACCTGCCTTTTCATTCTCACTTATCACCCCTCACTGGTGCCTCACCAACATATACCGACAGCACAGGTGGGATCACCATTTCATTATCATCCATTAAAAAAAAATACTCATATTTTAAGCGTGAAAGTTTTTAACGCAAGGAAGGTTGTTTGTTATTCTTTTAGACATAAACTGCTGAGCGGATTTAAATACAATTTAATATACTTACTAGCTGACCCCGTAAACGTTGTTTTACCACTTATTGCGAAATATAAAAATCGCGATTAAAATACAGGGATTGATCGTAAAACGATGAAAATTTTAAGTTGTATGTATTTTTCAATGCTAAATTATAATAAAATAAAAATAAAAAGAAATTGTCAAAAAAATTAAAAAAAAATTTGGGGTGGGTCACCCTTATCATTGACGAGTATGAAAAATAGATGTTGGTCGATTCTCAGACCTACCCAATATGCACACAAAATTTCATGAACATCGGTAAAGCCGTTTCGGAGGAGTTTAGTAACAAACACCGTGACACGAGAATTTTATATATTAGATATACTAATTAATACTTTATACACTAATTAATGTGAGCGATGCCACGGTATACAGTTGGTTTTATCGAATGTAAAATTCAGTTTATTTGTTTGTTGCCTCTTAGCGCTTTAATTATTTAACGAATTGTCATGAAATTTGATATTCAAATAGTATTTTCGATGAAGAAGGAGATAGACTACTGTTTAACCCGGTAAATCGATATATCCCGGTCAAGCGGACAAAGTCGCGAGACAAAGCTATTATCGCAGTATAGATCATGTTAATTCCCGTCTCTTATAAACCATTAGCGGTCCGTCTCGGCTTCGCACGGGTGGACATTTTTACAACATTTTAAAAAGTAGTTGTTGTGACATAATGATAATACATACAGTATCGCGAATAATAGATATAGTATCGCGAAGTTTTTTGTAGTTATTGATATTTTCTTCAATATTGTAGAACATACTTTTGTTCTATCACCAATAGTTTTTTCAGCGCACGCGACGAAAGATATAGCATTTTTTACACCTTGAATTACATTACTAAAATTATAGTAAGGATCCCTAATCTTTTCTAGCAATAAACATAGCCTATGTTACTCAGGGTGAATTTAGCTTTCTAATGGTGAAAGAATTTTTGCAATAGGCAAAGTAGTTTTTGAGTTTATTCATTACAAACATACATACATACAAAAATACAAATCTTTCCTCTTTATATTATTAGTGTAGATAATACATACCTACATATCTAATAGGATAATCTAAATAGCATATCCCTTTCAGATCTGAACGATACGGGCGTGAGTTGTAACTTTAAAAAATTCTAAAACCGCGCGCAATTCATTTTGACGCACGAAGCTGAAATAACATGATAGTGAGATTCTAAACCAGCCAATAAGAAATCATTTTAGCGGTTAGGTGGTGCAGTAGTCTCGTGCGTGCCGGCAAGATGGCTTGGCTCCAAAACACGAAAATATATTTAATATGAAAGAAAAAAAATCTTGGGTCTGAAAGGGATATTTAACGTAAAACTCCAAGAATCTCGAATTCGACAACAGAGTTCCGCTTTTATGTTTCAACGTATAGAATCCTAAAACATTTATAGCGATACAAATTATTCATTAATTTAAATTAAGTCAACTACGGCTGACTTAATTCGTTCCGAAGACCATTATACTTAATTTGTTCCGATTGACAGCCCTGTGCTAACACGGTCGGACGGGGGAGGGGGGGGGGGGGGGATGGATTGTTAGTAATGGAAACTGAGAATCCTATTGCTAGCAATATACCCAACCAGGTTGACCTCCTCGCGGTTCCCCCTGGAAACCATCGTGAGCAATTCTTGTTGAATTCGTCACGATGGGCTAACTGACCTAACATACTTCATCCTCACCTATCATCCTTCACTAGTGCCTTGCCGGTGTATACCGATAGCGCGGGTGGGGTTACCATTCCATTATCATCCATTAAAAAAAAGCTCTGTGCTAACACGGGCGGACGGGTGGCCATTTTTCTGTAACTTCGCGGACTAAGCCCGAGTATTACGGTTCGAATGTGTGGAAAGTTTGTGGGTTTAGAACTAGTCGACCTACTTGGAGAAACTTACGAGTCTCGCCTTGAATATTCTATTCACTCTATGTATTAAGAGCGGTGAAACCAAAGCTTACTGAAGTGTGACAACGCTGGAATTAGCTGTCATTTTTCAAAAACAAATAATTTAAAAATATTCTAAATTGTGACGTCTATAAATAAATCTGTAGAGAGGTCAATTCTGTACATGAAATATATTTCCAAAATAACTATCAGGGGGTGATTAGTGACTCATGCAAAAAATGCAATCAGTAAAATTTTTGTCTGTTTGTTGGTATGTTCGTTATAGAAACAAAAACTACTCGACGGATTTTAACGAAACTTGGTACAATTATTCTTTATACTCCTGGGCAGGTTATAGTATAATTTTCATCACGCTACGATTAATAGGAAGCAGAGCAGTGAAGGGAAATGTTGGGAAAACGGGAGAAGTTACTTCATTTTTAAGCTTTTGTCGCGTGTGCAGCCTTAATAGCCACTTTTTAAAATATAAAAATGTCCACCCGTGCGACATCGGGACGGGCCGCTAGTACAAAATATATATTCACCTCACAACCACATGCCAACATCGTCACTTTCATTACCATCATGTTATTATTTCAGTCGTTAACTGTCCACCGCTGGACATAAGCCTTCCCCCATGAGGAGAGTTTTGCCAGTAGTTGCCACGCTTATCAGGCGAATTGGCAACCGCAGTTAGGCTTTTAGAGATATTTTAAGAGGAACGCTGCTGCTCATCCTTCGCCTTCTCTCAGTCGCTTCTTACGAGACCCACGGAAAAGGAAGGGGTGGCCCATTCTATGCCGGGGCACACACGGCATTTACCATCAATTAGGTTAATTAAATGGTACACAGATAGTTATATTGATATTTTTTTTAAAACGATTAATGTAATTAAAAAAATACCAAGCCATCTGCCTGTAAGCTTCATAGCCACTTTCATACTATAAATAAATATTCATAACATATTTTTAATAGAAAAATATCTCTTTGACCCACTCCAGCTATAATTGGGAAGAGTTTATAAATAAGCAACTTTGACTAGAGAGGTTCACAAAAGCTTTTCTCTATTTATATCGTCATACAATTCCATTGAGCGTCCTGTACCATGAAATGCTGGCAAATAATGAATGAGCGAGTACTTATTGTTAATCTCTCTCGCCCCCCCCCCCTTACTCGCCACTTCTCCCGGCTAGGCTAAAAATAACCTACAGCTGTCGTAGAGTCGTAGTTTTCATTATATTTACATTCTTATAAGTGTATTGTAATAGTAATTCTGCGGGTAGGAAGGGATTATAAGTAATACATCCTGTCAAGTCGACATCCTCGTAGTCTCCCCTGGAAACCATCGTGCTGAATTCAAGGTGTATTCATCACGATGGGCTAACTGACCTCCCTTTTTATTCTCACCTATCATCCCTCACTGGTGCCCTGCCAGTGTATGCCGTTAGAGTAGGTGGCGTGGAATGGTAATTCAGGTTCAGTGTATATATATATATATATATATATACACATACAAACGTATATATATATATATATATACATATATATATATATATATATATATATATACAATTAATAATTTTCATTTTAAAAAATTTACGACAGTTTTCACTATTAAGTTAAATATCTATAAGGCTTTATAATATAAATATAATTTTCTTTATAGATTTATTAATTTTTAACATTATTATTTCAGCCGCTAACTGTCCACTGCTGAACATAAAAGGAGTTTTGCTAGTAGTTGCCAGGTTTGGCAGGCGGGTTGGCAACCGCAGGTAAGCTTTTAGAGATGTTTTTAGAGAGACGCTGCCCCTCCTCCACCCATAAATTTTAACATGTTCAGTATAAATAAATGAATAATAAAGAAATAATAAAACGTACACATTTCGAAGACGCTTATATATAATTATAAATAATTTATTACTGTATTTTCAAAATAAACATTATTAGGTGACGCTTGGCATATTTAAGAGTCCTGGCGAATCTTTGGGATCGTTTGAAGTGTTCTATTTGATGTCGCGTTTGTGAAATTCGGAAACACCTACGAAAATTCGTTACCCGAGCCATTTCCTTTGATCCACTCAATCGAGAGTTAAAACAGAAAACGGACAGTGTTAAGTAAAGACCTCTTTTAAACTTCAAAAAGGAGATTGTATTACATTGGATGGTACTTATTTTTTTGTTTGTTTTTACCATGATTTGAGGAATGACTGTTATTAGTACAGTTTCTATCATCTTCCAAATTAGAATAGAATATAATAGAAAACATTTATTGCTAGTAAACACACAATCACCATATAAAATATACAAAATAAATTATACAAGAAGTGTCCCGTACTAGGCAAAAGGAACCGGCTCAGCTGACGCTGTGAGTGTTAATTAATCAACATTCTCTGACCGTTATTCACACACACATGTTGCGACACGTTTCACTTCTTTAATTTATACAACAATTCTGTTGTTATGCCTAAGTCATTTAGGCAAAACTTATATTACATTAGTACCTATGTATTTACAACATTTCCTAAGCTTTTGTTTTTTTGATGGGTGAAAATGGAATGGTAACCCCGCCTGCGCTAACGGAATACGCTGGCGGAGCACCAGTGAAGGGTGATCGGTGAGAATGAAAACAGGGCAGTTAGTCCATCATGATGAATTCATCAGGAATTAAGCATGATAGTTTTGAGGGAGAACCGCGTGGAGGTCGACCTGGTTGGGTATATTGCTAGCAATGGGATTCTCAGTCTCCATTACTAACAATCCCTTTCCCCCCATCCTAAGCTGTTAAGGAAACACTTAAACCAAATAAGGTAGGTACATGGAGAAACAACTCACCATAAGTTGAGCGTGTTCATTTTGTAATTATAAAATGTTTTTTTCTGGCGGTGTACGATCTGAAACAAATAATAATAAATTAAGTATATTATTTATAAAATAAAAACATACAAATAAATTTAAAAACACATATAATTAGGATTTTTCACGTCAAGCTATGTTAGAAGCCTTTGTATTATAATGAAGGTAGTCTAAAAATTCTTCATACCATAACCTCACCCTTACACGAGTAGTAGCCTGTAATACGATTTACACCACAAAAAACCTCTACTTAAATTGAAGCCAAAAATTGTTATTTTAATTTAAAAACCAAACTACTCAACCGATTTTAGTAAAATTTTTATGGGACCAATCTTTGAGGATATCGATTCAAATAAAAAAAAAGCAACTAATGCAGTTATAAGGTAACAGATATAAAAGATAATTCGACCGAATTGAGAACCTCTTTTTTTCGGAGTCGGTTAAAAAATATATCTAAATAAGCATATATTTATATATTCACTAAACGAAAAATATCATATTTTAATAAAAAATAATCTAAGGTTTCAGCAACGTGTAGGTGTTATGTGGGCAGACATACCGCTTCGTAAAACAAAGCCGAACATTTAACCCGCAAGATTCGATTCGATTAAACTTTTTGCTTTTTTATTATTCAAAGCGGAAAAAAAAAAACACCGCAGTAAAATTCATTATTACAATATTTTATTACAGATTTATCCATTATTTACGCTAGAGCCCAGCGTGATTGCGAAATAATAATTCAATCTTTAATTTCCTCCGTTTTTCTCTACGAATAAAAATTATTTGTTAGACTTTTCCTTAAATGAGCAAGTAATTTGGACGCGGGTGAAAAAAATAAAAATGGGAATGTAAAAGTTTACTTTGTTTAACATTAATTTCATAATTTACTAATTGACTTACTAGGGGACTGACTTACTAAGCCGGGGTTGGACTAGTAAGTAAGTAATCAGCTTTTCATGTTTCTTCTGGGAAAAATGTTCAATTTAATGGCAGAATACTCTTTTAAAAGAATTCTGAAGGTTTTGATCTCACACATAATAAATACTCTTTGACAACAGCAAACATGTAACAGTCTGGTATCCGAGAAATGGCTTCAGGAATCGAGGACGTAAAGTGCGAAGATGGGAGGACAACCAAAATGTAACCCTAAGTCCCTTTAGCTACGACTGGCAGCTAATAAAAATCAGTGGATTGATGGATTGAGGATGATTAATAGAATTCGTCGTATGGCAGAAGGTTTACTTTCCCATACGAGCTTTAACCAAGTGTGAAAGAGGTTTCAAAGAAGGACGATGTAATGGTAGACGAGATGAGAAATTTACACGTAATATAGCAGGTATTTAAGATTGTGGCCTTTTATAGTAGGTAGATATTATTATTATAGAAAAATTCACAACTCCCCTCTTAAAGAGAGGAAATGGCAAACTAACCCCCGGCAGAAGCACAGTCGGCCCGGGTTCAGGGCCCCAGGGAGAGAAACCGGCGTACAATGCGGGCAGAATCTAAGAGCACCGCTTTCTGCATCTTTCCCGGGAGTGAGCCGCCTCGGAATCCCAATTATTATTATTCTTTAAGAGCTAATACACAACCCTATAAATAGGGACGAGTAAACTAATGAATGAAACTATAATAAGAACGACTGTACGAACCAAACCAACCGTCCCATTTCACCAACATTAGCCGATAATCTTAGGGCATATCTCGTCGTACCCTTGCAGGGCTAAAGGGATTCGATATATTGATGTCAAACCGCACGGAATAATTGCGAGCGACAGACGATTTTCATTTTATGTAAATAGGATTATTTTACGAGGAATTTATTTCGGTATAACATATAAAACGATATGGTGATACAGTAAATATATTATCATCAAAATGCCAGCCGTTAACTGATCACTGTTGGATATACGCTTCGCCCATAAGGGGGTTTGCTAGTAGTTGCGACGCTTGGTAAGCGGATTGGCAACCGTAGTTGGATTTTAGTGATATTTTAAGAGGGACGCTGTTGCCCATTCCTAGACCATTAAGTTCCCTTAGTCGCCTCTTACGACACCCACGGGAAAGGAAGAGGTGGCCTATTCTATGCTGGAACCACATAGCTACACAGTAGCTATATCTTGGATTTTTTGGATTAAGTCATGTATGGAGTGATTTAATCCAAAAAAATCCTAAAACTATCGGTATCCGTCATGATCATCATCATGATCATCATGGGCACAGTATTACAGAAAAGTGGAGGATTCAGAATTAAGTTGGCAAAAAAATGTATCCTCCACTTACAACTTAATTCTGAAAGAGTTATCAACGCAGACGATTTGCTTTTGGCTATTACAGGACCTATAAGACTATAAGATAGACACTGTAGATCAGTGATTCTCAACCCTTTTTTTGTTGCGGCACATATTTAACGATTTCAAAATTTGGCGGCACACAAAGAAAAAGAAAAAAATCATTTCTTATTACAACACACTGCATAAATAGTTTATGACAAAAATTTTAATTATTTACAAAATTTGGCGGCACACTTTTAAAATTTGGCGGCACACAAAAGTGCCGCGGCACAGTGGTTGAGAATCACTGCTGTAGATATTCACCAAATATTAATAATCGGTGGGACAGTAAAGGTAACGGATTTAACAAAACAATAATCAAGCAAACAGAATAAAATTCCTTTGCAATGGCAGAAAATAAAATCTAGTAGTGTTTCACAACAACCCGACAGATGTCGCGCTATATCCCCGGATCCGTGGAGCTGTAATGATATTCAGCGCAACAGAACTGGGACGGTCCTCGTAAAATTCTTATTGAGCTCATCATGATAATTTATATGAACAAAGTGTGCCGATCGAAGCGTCCGCTCGCCAACGAGCCGAATATTCTCTTAATGAAATATTCTTTTATTATAATGAGCCCAATAAGGTACCTACCTAAGGTACCAGAGGGAGACTTTGTACAAAAGTCGATTGCTTGGATACCTCTGTCCCATTCGTGTTTCTACCGTGAAGCAGTTGTGTTTGCATGTCTGTGTTTCGGTATGAAGGGTGGGATACGGTGTGAATTTACTGGGTACAGAGGAATCCTCAGGAATAGCAACGCATGGGGGGTATCATGGGCGAAACAGTATACTCTGTTATGTCCATGGTACTGCTCATGTCTACAGGCGACGGTTACCACTTTCCATCAGGTGGGCCGTCAGCTTGTTTGCCATTCTAAGTTGTATAAAAAAAAAACCTATAATATCATCTGTAACCTGTAATAACAGGAGTATAGTTAAACAGATAAATACCGGAAAAATCATACAATTTCGGTCATACAGACATTACATTGCATGAGAAACAAAATGTTCTCACTGTTATTAGATCTCATTCCAGAACGCGTTCATTTTACACATTGTAATTTTAGTCCAAAATTTTATTCCATGTTATTCCATAAATTTTATTTAGATTCAAACTTTCAGTTTGCAGTTTCTTAACCTTGGCCACAGGGTCACCGAATATTTACCAAACGTCAACATTAGTGTTTTGTGGACGTTTGCAAATAGCCCCACGGCGCACGCTACAGAACGCTAAGCTGAAGCTGTTTACCTTCAGGTACCTAAATAGCAGGTGCCCGAGTGAATGCAATTCAAATAAGCATACATTGAGATCGAAACTGTATAGACTTGTAAGGAAACACAATAATAAAGAACGAACTAATTTTATTATTTGTCAAATTTTGTTATCCCCTACAGTTCGGGTTAGCAAACAGGTTCAGTCCAGAAGAAATAGATAGATAGATACTCTTTATTGTTTCCTCCAAAAGATTACAATAGTAAACTTATTATATACGCTGGATAATAATTATATATATATATATATATATATATATATATATATATATATATATATATATATAATTATTATCCAGCGTATTAAATTTGGGGTGAAAAAGTTATTAGAAATATGAGGCCAAAGATATGAATGCCATCTTAGTCCTCCAAAATGTCGAAAGGTATCAAGGCCTTTGGTATATACAGTACTGATGTACTCGAAGCGATTTATAATCTGTGATATTTATATCTACACGCGTCTGTTACTTTCCATCAGGTAGTCCATCAATTTGATTGCCATTCCCCGTAGTATGAAAATATCTTTTTGTATTTTTGGAAATTAATAAATTTTCAACGCGAAGGCACGAGAGCTATTTCTGTATTAACTTTCTAAGAATACTCGTTTTACTGAGCCATTTTGATGTTTAAATAACGCTGGCAATATGCAGATAATGTAGACATAGTCCAAAACAAATTCTTGGCGTCCCTTGACGTGCTGGCGCTATCGATCTACTTGAGTCGACACCGTTTTTACGATTTAAAGACACGCACGATTGGACTTCGTCGCTATAATTTCTAGACTTTTTAAATTGTCCTATGCCAGTGGTTATTAAACTATGTTTCGTATACATAAGTCTAGCTTCTACCCGCGACTTCTATCGCATGATATATTTATTGACCGGGACAAAATATATTTTTCTCCATCCCATATAGTAGTGTATACCAAATTTCATAAGTGATTCGTGAAGCCGTTAAGAGGCAACATACTGACTTTTGCATTTAAAATATTTATTATCAAATATTTAAATTTACGCCTACAAGTGCCTACAAGTAAATTTTGTTTCTCAACGAGCTGTATTTTTGCAGGAAAACGACAGCTTCAAACATCGCAAAATATATAATTACGCGACCAACACGGCAGTAAACCCTATTGATTGCAAAGTAAATTATTTAAATTGATTCAGAATTGACGATATTATAACATAGCTGACACACATGGTACTTCGCCAGCATATTTTCTAGATTTTGTAACGTGTCATTGGTATACTTTTTCATTAGCATCATTCGCAGCCATTATCTGTCCACTGCTAAACATACGTCTCCCATAGATTGCTATAAACAACTGTTCTGAGCCACCCGCGTCCACAGACTTTCTGCAACGAGTTTGAGGTAATTCTTCCATCTAGTGAGTGAAGGTCGTCCTACCCTGCGTTTGCCCGTTCGGGGACC